AGCCCTTACAATGTACTTGGATTAACAATGATATTATTACTCCCAGGACAGTCTTGTCCTAACAAAGATCTTAATTATTTGTCTTTCATATAGAATTTGCTGATTCTTTCATCATGGAAGTTGACTGAACATGCACTAATCCAGCAGGTGTTTCCACATTCTGTTTCACACAAAGGTTAAATGTTGTCTGGACAGTAAGCAACATGAGTAATGAAGGGTAGAAGCAAAGATTTCGTGGTCAAGTAGATTTGGAAATGTCTCCTTTGGTATTTCCTCAAATACCACTTCTCTGAGTACAGTCATTAACAGCTCACAGAACACTGAGCAGAGCAGTTTGCAGGGAACGCTTTCTGTATAATGTTAGGTTCAATTAAAATTAAGTTTAAAACTGCCTCCAAGGCCCAATGCCTATACCAGAGATAACAGTTCCCAAACAGCAACAAATGGAGAATGTAGAGTTAACTCGAGTAGATTAGTCTTGAACAAATTAGTAGCACTCAGCAAGTGTGCAGCTCACCAGGACTCTCTACAACATCTGAAAAACTTTTACGAAGGCAAAACAGCTGGCTGTTCTTCAAAAGTAATGAAATCCAATCTTCAGTCTTAGTAAGATTTCCATATGATTCACACATATATTTATATATTATATTCTTATATAGTATATATTTCCATGATTCATATATGTTGAAAAACTTTATTTTAATTACATTATAAACTTTTATATTTATTATAAATTTTATAATATATTTTATATATATATATATATGAATGATCCAACGCAATAGCATAGTGGCTAAATCCTTGCCTTACATCTGCCAGGTTTTCCATATAGGCACTGGTTTGTGTCCCAGCTGCTCCACTTCCCATCCAGCTCCTTGTTTGTGGCCTGGGAAAGCAGTCAAGGACACACCAAAGCCTAGGGATCCTGTAACTGCATGGGAAACCAAGAAGGTCCTGGCTTCGCATAGACTCAACCCCGGCCACTGGAGCCACTGGGGGAGTGAACCAACAGATGGAAGATTTATCTTCATCTCCTTCTCTCTCTAAACCTGCCTTTGCCTAAAAATTAGTAAATCTTTTTTAAAAAGTGGTTTGAGAGGCATTGATTTAAAACAAAGGTTGACAAAATTTTTCTGTAAAAAGCCATTTAATTCTCATATTTATATATATATTCACCTAGAGGAACTGTATAATGGAGACTAGCATAGAAGATACACTGCAGTGTGCACTGCTACTCCCAAATCAAAGATGGACTCCCAATGAAATTGTTAAATATAGCTTGACAACAAAATACTAGATTTCCTACCACTGTCTATACCTACAAAATCATGATGCACTTAAATAGCAGAATGCAGTGACTATTACCGAAGCACTATACTATCGTAATAATATGGGGAAACAGGTGGTGGAAAGAAAAATCTCTGAGCCTAGGGAACTGTATCATAAAAAACAAACAAAAAAATTTTTAAACAGCTAGTTAATTCTGTAAAGTTTAAAGGTTATATAATTTCGGTTGTAATTTCTCAACTATATTGATATGATTAAAAAGTCACTATATTAAGATACGTGACAACTAAAGGTGCATTTGCATGGAAGCAAAGAACATCAGAGGCTATAAGGTGAAATGAGGAAGCCTCTATGGTTGAATATGGTTTGTCTCCTACAAAAGTCATGCTGGAATTTGGTCCCCAGTGTAGCAAGGCTGAGAGGTAGGACTTCGTGAGGAGTGTTTCAGGATCACAAGGACAGGGCCTTCATGAAAGGATTAACTCTTGGCTGAAGAGTATGGATTAACCATTTGAGAGCTTTGTGCCCCTCTTCCTTTCATAAGTGCTCCCTCTGTTGACCTTCTCTGCCAGGAGCTGAAGCAGAATAAAGCCCTTACCAGATAACAGCCACTCCATCTGGGATTTCCCAGCTTCCACAACCATGCGTCAAAATTAACCTCTTTTTTTTGACTAAATTACACAGTCTCATGCATTCTGTTATAGGAACAGAAAATGTGCCAATACAGAAATAGAATTTACCAGTTATAATGTAGATTTTAACTCACTCTCAATATTGACAGAACTAGACAGATAAACAACACACGTTAGCAACATTCTCAATCACCTCAACCAGCTGATATTTACAGTGTTCTCCACCCAACAACACTGTACTTATTCCTCTCAAAGAAACACGAACTAAAATATGATGCCAGGCCATAAAGCAAGTCTAAAAAGACTAAAATCATAGAAATTATGTTCTCCACCCATATAGTCAGGTAGCAACCACAGAAATAAAGGGAAGAAATCCCTAGTACTGGTATAACACATGAAAAACACAATTAACTCATGGATCCAGAAGGAAATTTCAAAGGAAACTAGAAGACATCTCATGACACAGCAAAGCACCAGCAACAGACATGTAGATCAATATAACAAGAATAAGAAGAAAAACAAAGCTTTAATTTTTTTTCATTGATTCTAGGCAAAGGTACTAAGGTAATTCAATAGGGAAAAACTTGAGTCTTTTCAACAAATAAGTGCAGGACAATCCAAAATTCATCTTTTAAAAACCCTATATCCTTACCTCAAACTATAAGCAAATATTAATTCAAAATTGATCAGTCATTTAAATGTAAATCAAGAAATCTTCTGGAAGAGAAATCATTATGAATTAGGGTTGAGCAAATGTTTTGTAGATAAGATAATAAAAGAAAAAGTTAGTTGGATTTTGTAAAATTTTTTTAAAAATTAAAATTTTTTACTCTTTAGCTAAGCTGCACCTGAGATGCCAGGATCCCATACAGGTGCTGGTTCATGTCCCCCATGTTCCACTTTCATTTCTTCCTCTTTCCTTCCTTCCTTCCTTTCTTTAAGGTTTATTTTATTAACTTGAAAAGCAGAGTTACAGAGCAAGAAGGAGACAGAAACCTTCCATCCTTTGGTTCACTTCCCAAATGGCTGCAGCAGCAAGAGCTGGGGCAGACCAAAGCCAGGAGCTTCTTCCAGGTCTCCCACGTGGGTGCCTGGCCCAAGGTCTTGGCTGTCCCTCTGCCACTCTCCCAGATATACCAGCAGAGAGATGGATGGAGTAGCTGGGACATGAACCAGTGCCCATGTGGGATGCCAGCATCTCAGGCAGCAGCATTCATTAGCTGCTTTGCTACAATGTTAGCCTCTTTGCTGCCAGAGAAAACAACAGAAGTTAGCCCAAATGTCTGGGTTCCTGCATTCACTACATCAAGAAAGATAACTAAATGTAAAACTGGGGAAAAGATTTGGATGGATAATTCAAAAATAAATAAATAGCTAGCATGCATATTATAATCAACATCACTAGTAATTAGAGATAATTAAAACCAGGTGGGAGGGGCTGACACTATAGCTTAATCTTCCAACAGTGGCATCTGTATGCCAGCTTAAGACCTGGCTGCTCCATTTCTGATCCAGTTCCTTGCTAATGCACCTGGCAACAACAGTGGAGGACGGCCCAAGAACTCAGGCCGTTGCATCCAGAGACCCAGCAAAACCTCCTGGATCCTGGCTTCAGCCACTACAGCCATTTGGGAGACTGAAACAGCAGATGGAAGATCTCTCTTTCCAATTCTACCTTTCAAATAAATACATAAATCTTTAAAACAAACAAACAAACATGGGATACCACCCCATGCCTATGTTGAGAGGCATTCTCAATCATATCAACTTTAGGAAAATGCAGAATGGAAGATGAGAACCTAGAAATTGACTCTTAAATTACCTTAGCTCATATTCTCTTGAAAGCTTTTGTGTACTCCTAGGCATACACATCCTCCATCTTAAGATAACTGCTGCATAAAGACACACACACACTCAGATTTGATAACCAAGAAAGCATTTGGCTGACAGGATTTGATACCTTAGAAAGGCACTCTGCCTGAATGAGGCTGACTCAGCTGAGAAAAAGTAGTTAGAGCTGGGAAAGAAGCTAACAGTGTTAGGAGGAGGGAGGAGAGCTCTTCTGAGTCCCTGGTGCTGACAAGGAGCACAGTAACGAGGATGCCCTCAGGCAACACCCAACACCACGTCATCATTTGGCCTGCCTTCCACAGAGGCTCCTTCCCCAGCTCACACTGACTAGACAGCACCAGGCCCAGGCAAGTCTGCCTTCAAACACCCATATCAGGAGAGCACTCTGCAGCAACAAACTGGTGCAGAGCAGAGAGCTGACCTTCCTTTATGGTCCACATTCCAACCTGATGTGCTCAAGTCAGAGCGTTTATCACACTGGAATCACAATTGTTTGTTTATATGCCAGGCTCTTGCCCGTGCATTAGAGACTCTGCCAGCCTAGAATTTCAGCACCTAGTGTATGCCAGCACAAAGTTTACAGTCAACAAACATTAATAAAGGCAAATCATTAATAATCCAACTGTACAACTGCCATTCTTATCTAACAAAAACATGAAACATTTCTGGGCAGTAGATGTACTATAAAATTTGCTTCTCTTTCTTAAAGAAAATCTAGTCTATAATTAAGAACATAGTATCTTATTGTGAATCTAATCACTTCTAAATGAAATCTTCAGGGAAACGGCTCTCTGAAAGAAATGTGCCATTGTGCTAAGACCAGGGACTAGAGAGAAGATGAGCAACTTGGTTCTGGCTAGCACTGTGACCTACCTTTTCTGGCTTTTAGTTTCCCCATGGGTAATATAAAAACATTAAGCTACAATCTCTAAGTATTCTCCAAATGTTGATGTTCTAGGGCTTTTCAATCTGTGTTTCAGTAATGAACAATTAAGAAGTAAAAGGCAAGTCACGTACTGAGTATTTCTACATTTTGGTACTTTTTTTGCTAGAGAACAAAATAAATTATCCAGTCAGAATGTACTTGGGGCTTCAATCCCATCAACTATATAAAATTACATAGCCACTGGAAAAAATCTCCTTTTTAATTCAGCAATTTGATTTTATAATTTCAGTTCAACTCGTAAAGTTACCACTTTATTATACATCACAGCAAAACAATCAGCTTACCTGCCAGGACACGGCTCCCAAAATTGCTGTTGCAAGAAGACTGAAAAAAACCAGCCGTTCTGAAATTAAGCAAAAGTGACGCATCCCTTTGGAGGCCATGATTCTGTCGAGACTATTGTTATCTGTCCTGTGGGTAAAATAGACCTTATGACAGTCATTCAGTTTGGTATGAAATCCCCAAAGAGTTAAAAGAAAAATAATATGACAGATCATCCAGAAAATCCCAAAAATGGAAAAGCCTGGTATTACAAAATACCAGAGATGAGTGTCTCTAAGTTTAAATGCTGAAAGAATAAAAAACATCAGCTCAATCATTCCAGTAAAAACCACTGAAAGTCTCCTGCAGATTCTTCCACGGTGCAAAAAGGGTTTCCATCGTTCAGTTACTGAAAGTCCACTGAAGTAAATGTCAAGGAAAGGGTCGGTTATCAGGCAGATAAAAAAACACGCAAAAGCAACTGGATTTTGGGGAGTTTCCAACGAGGAGAAAAACAGCAAAGCTGTGAAAATCACTAAGTTTGGAATAGCTAGAAAAGACTTCATTCTCAGATCAATAATGAGCATGGCCAGAGCTACGACGAGTAAAATGACACCCAGAGACTTCTCTACCAGCATGGTTGTGCTAGCGATGGCAAATCCAACAAGTTCCAGAAATTCGACTGAGGTTAGTAAAGTGGGTCGGTGACGGACGTAACCAGAAATTCTCTCCACCAGAGCACATAATATCCTTAATACGATGGAAGCTAGGAGTAAATATTCAGTTGACTCTTCCTTCACATCATTTTTAAAAGACGAATTATCGAGAAAACAGAGGAGGCCAAGCAAGAATCCAAACCAAAGATTGGAGAGACTTAAACTTGCTGCTTCCATTGAAAAATAATAATAGAGTATGCTGGCAATTCCAAGAACAAAAAGACCGAGAATAAAAATGACCAAAATTAAAGAATTGGCTGTTTTTTCCCATCTTACATAAAGACCTAAGCATATAGCAACTAGTAAATTGATCCTGGCTAAATAGCCAAGGTACCGCACTGAAGAATGCATGTTCACTTCTCTGTTGACTTCCTCCAGTCTTGTCATTGCTAAATACAGACAATGACTAAAGCAGTAACGCAGTGATTTACACATGTACCCTGGTTTCTTCCCCACGTCACAAAAATTAACAGTCTATATTTCATCCGGCAACTCCGATGTGTCCCGTCACTCTTATTTCAACATTTTCTCATGTGGAAACTTGTTTCTAATGATCTAAAAAAAAAAAAAAAAAAGGAGAAAAGAAAATCAGGTTAGTTTTAATATAGCTTTGATATGCATCTTCTTTATGCAAAGTAAGTTTTAAAATTTCTTCTGCCATCCCATTTCAGAAGAAAAACCTGATTGGCATTCTCTTAATGATAATTGAAAAGCTGGACAGTTTTTCAGATGAGAATGACTATGCTTTCAACACATCACATGCTGAGTTTGCACGGCTGAGGCACCATCAAGGAAAGTGTTCTTGCCGACAAGGCAGAGAAGTCCTCTCATTCATTGTTATTCAATGTTACACAAACATGAGATGTTCAATTTAGCTTCAACTATAGCCAACAGCCTTGGCACCAGGGAAAGCTATTCACCTGTTGCAACGACCACTACTTTGAAAAGTGCCAGCACACAGTAGTAGCAATCATTACTACCCACCTAAAATCCTCTATTTCTTATCAAAGGCAGTTCTGAAATGCTTTGGTATATTTTAGTTTATCTTTGATTACTTAAGAGAAACTGATCAAATCTGGAATACACTGAGGTTTTCAAAATATTAATCTTGTGTGTTATATGACATTGTGTGTCATAATATACATCTAAAAGGGCTGATGGTACAGTCTTGTCTTAGATTATCGAACAATGCTGAAGGAGAAAAAGAAAACCACACATTGGGGGTAAATGGTGCCACTCCAAATCATGAACTCTCTTTCTCTGTATCTCCCTTGTCAATAAGCTTTCCCATTCTGAGACTATCCACGACCTCTCTTACCTCAGCTCACATCTCTGGAACCCACTGTCCACCCTACTGTCACCAGAAGATTGTCCTCAACAGAGGCTGTCAGATCGAAGTTCACTTGAGTTCCCAACATTACAAAGGCCTACCTCCCTCTAGCTCCTCCATGCAAAGGGTGCCCTTTCCCTAGCTGAGTCCAAATGTCCAGCACACTTTGTATCTCTTCCCTTCTGCCTCTTTCAAAATGTCACTTCGCATACATTCTCTCTCAGCGTTGTTCTTATTTGCTAGCAGTTAAACACTTGTAAATCTTGTCTAAATGTTACTGTCATCCTCCCCCAAAATACAAAACCCAAACTAGCTTATCTGCATCTCTTCTATCAAATTCAACCTTATTCTTGATACAGTATTTGGCTGCTTCATCTCTTATCCATTCACTTTTAAAATTGCTAAGTCATGATTGCCACCACACGTCTGCTCTGCTGAGCTCTGAAATGACCTGTAAACTCCAAATCCAGTGGGTACTGACCCCGAGTCTTATACAATCTGTACATACCCTGTGGTGCTGCTGACACCTCTCAGCTTCCCTTCCCTTGGTATTCAAAGACCAAGTCTCCAGCTTCCCTTCTGGCTCGTTAGTGTCTCCTGTCTCCCTGAAAGCTCTTTTATTCTCAACTCACTCCTCCAATGTTCAATCCCAAGCCTGGAGGATTGGCATTGTGGCATGGCAGGTAAAGCCACCTTTGCTGCCAGCACCTTGTAACAGTGGCAGTTCAAGTCTCAGCTGCTCCACTTCCAATCAAGCTCCCTTTACTGGGGAAAAGCAGCAAGAGATGGGCCCACAAGTTGGGCCCTGGCCAGCCCCTCTGGAAGAAGTTCCTGGTTGCTGGCGCTTTGGCCTATGCAGCCATCTAGGGAATGGACGAGAAGATGGAATTCCTCTGTCCCTTCCTCTCCCTGACTTTTTAAAAATAAACACATCTTAAAAGCAAACAAATGAAAGCATAGCTGAGACTTTTCATTCTACGTGCTCCTTTCATTATAATCCCAGCTATTTCCAAGTCTACAATCATCACCTCTCACCTAACTGTCCACATATGTGAATCTACTCAACAGAAGCAAAAGCACTGGCTGTTATCAATTTACAGAGGCTGTTATCAATTTATTTGGAAATAAATGTAAACAATACCATAATACTTTTAAAGTGCAATGTATCAACATCATTGAAAATGTGCAGCTAAATTCTTGTGTGTCAAAAGCAACATGACAGTTAGGCACTTTTAGATGGATAACTTAAAAAATCTTCCCCAGACTGGAATTTTTTTCACCAAGATCTGGAACTAGTTAAGGATGTCTACTTTCACCACTGCTAGCCAACACAGTGTTGGAAGTCCTGGCTAGAGCTATTAGGCAAGAAAAAGACATACACAGAATTCCAATCAGAAATGAAGAATTAAAATTATCCCTGATCACCTATGACATAATTCTTTACATAGGAAAATTAAAAGGCTCAATAAAGAGACTACTGGAATTCATAAGAGAGTTTGACAGGGTAGCAGTGTACAAAATCAATGAATCTAAATTGGTATCCTACTATACACACAAATAATTCCGTGGCTGAGAAAGAACTTGTAAGTGCAGTCCCCCTTAAAATAGCACAGAAGAATCTGAAATACCTTGAAATAAACCTAACCAATGACATGCAAGACTTCTATGATGAATATTACAAGACCTAATAAAAAGAATTAGGGGCCCGGCCTGGTGGCGCAGTGGTTAAGGTCCTCACCTTGCACCCCCGGGATCCCATATGGGCACCGGTTCTAATCCCGGCAGCCCTGCTTCCCATCCAGGTCCCTGCCTGTGGCCCAAGAAAGCAGTCGAGGACAGCCCAAAGCTTTGGGACCCTGCACCCGCGTGGGAGACCTGGAAGAGGCTCCTGGCTTCGGATTGGCATAGCATTGGCCATTGCGCTCACTTGGGGAGTGAATCATGGGACAGAAGATCTTCCCCTCTGTCTCTCCTCCTCTCTGTATATCCGCCTTTCCAATTAAAAAAAAAAAAAAAGAATTAGAAGCAGACATTAACAGATGGGAAATTTACCATGTTCCTGGATCAGAAGAATCAGCACCATCAATGTGTCCATATTACCAAAAGTAATACATAGATCAAAGACAATCCCAATCAAACTCCCAACAACATTCTTCTTAGAAACATACAAAAATTCATCTGGGAGCGCAAGAGACCATGAATAGCCAAAGTTATCCTGAAGAATAAAAATCAGGCAAGAGAAATCACAATTCCGGACCTCAAGACGTACTACAGGGCAGTGGGCACAGTCCAGAGCTGGTACAGAAACAGGAAAGCTCAATGGAACCGAACAGAAAGCCTAGAAGTGAGCCCAAGCATGCACAACCAACTAATCTTTGAGAAGAAAGCTGAAAATAACTCAGGGAAAGTTTGATCTCTTCAACAAATACCACTGGGACAATTAGCAGCCTGCAGAAGCAAGGAACAAAAACTCCACCTTTCACCTCATACAAAAATTGGCTCTAAACGGATCAAGGATCTAAATCTGCACCAGAGAGCATCCGACTATTGGAAGAAAACATAGGAAGCACTTTACAAGTTATAGGCACTGGGAAGGATTTCTCAGAAAAGTCACCAAGAGCAAAAGCAGTCAAAGCCAAAATAAACAAGCAGGACTGCGTCAAACTAAACAGCTTCTATACAGCAAAGGAAATGATCGACAAAGAAGTAACCAACAGAATGGGATAAAACCTTCGCACACTACACAACCGACAGACGACTAACATCCAGATTTACAAAGAGCTCAGAAATTCAACGACAGCAAAGCAAACAACGCTGTGAAGAAATGGGCAAAGGAGATGAACAGACATTTTTCAAAAGCACAAATTCAAATGGCTATTAGACCTATGAAAAATGCTCAGGCTCCCTAGCTGTCAGGAAAATACAAATAAAAAACACACTGAGGTTCCACTCAACTCCAGTGAAATTGGCCAATATTTAGAACTCTACCAACAACATCTACTGGCGTGGAAATGGGAAAAAAGGAACTCTAGTCCACTGATGGTGGGAATGCAGGCTAGTGCAGCCGCTATGGAAGCCAGTATAGAGAATGCTAAGACAACTGAAAACCTACCATGTGACTCAGCTTTCATACTCAAAAGGAAGTGACATCTGTATATGGAAAAGCAAGCTAAAATCTTATAGATATATAGTAACACAGTCCACAATAGCAGCGACATAGAAACAACCCAGATGCCCATCAAAAGAGGAATGGATAAAGAAACCAGGTACATCTACTCTGTGGAATACTACTCAGCCATTAAAAAGAACGAAGTTACACCATGTGCAACAAAATGTTCCAAACTGGAGACCATTACGCACAGTAAATAAGCCAATCCCAAAGGGACAACTGTCATATGTTCTTTCTGATACAGGGGAACCTCCATGCCAAATACAAGATAAACAGATACACAGACTTCTATGCATATATTTTCAGATATTTGTATAATGGAGATTTGCATACCGAGAAGTGAAGATACATTGCGGTAGGCATCTTTATTGCCGCATAAAAGACGGACTCGCAATGAAACTGCTAAAATACCCTGACAACAGGATACCTGACTTTTTACCATTGCCTACACCTACAATGCCACAATACACTTAAACAGAATGATGGAGTTGTGATTGCTGAAGGACTATACTATTGTAATAATATGGGGGAAACAGCTGGGGGATGGGGAGGAAACATCTGTGCTCTAGAAATCGTATCATGAAAAAAAAAGGCTTTCCATATTCTGATATTCTTCAAAAGACAAAGATACTGGGCCAAACAGTAAAGCAGAAAACGTCATTATAATCCTTCTCAATTTGTCTGCAATCATTCGATTCAATGTAACAAGACTTCAAAGGCAGATTAAAAGAATGCACAGGGGAGAGTCAATGGAAGTCCATTTTATAAGACCCCCGTGTGTCACTGTAACCCTCCCGTCCTTCACCACTCTCCTGCAGGTCCCACCTATGCTTCCTAACCATTTCTCATTGCACGGACTTGGCATCCCTGAGGCCCCCAGCCCTGCCTTGGATATAATCTCACACTGCAACCTCTGCTTGTGTCCTTCTATACAAAGTGTCTTTTTTTTGATACAAAATTTATCAAGTCACTCTTGGGTAAAAATCTTGCAGCAGTTCCCCTCTCTCCCAGCCAGAAAGCCTGACCTCCTGCAGCTGCCTTATAAAGTGCTTTCACTCACGCCCTGGCCCCTTCCCTTCCCTCTCACAGCTCATGTTGCAGCCAGGCCTGCCTGTCAATTCTGAACTGCACAAATAGGACTCCACATCCACGTGCACTCCGTTCCTTCCCAGGGGATCCACCCCAGTCCTCAGACTCGCTTATTCCTATTTCTCTCAGGCCTCATCCAAAAATAGTTCTCTTAGGGAGATCTCCCCGACCCCATTTTATAGTGCCGGCGGCTCTAGAACAGAAAATTCGACACGCATACAATTTCCATTAGATCAGTGTCTCTGCAGCTGTGTCTTCAGCACAACAAAGTCGGCCACCAAGTGCAAAGTCAGCAAACACTTGTTGAAAAAATGAAGAGCAATCAGAAAGAGCGACACTTGGAAGTAACGGGAAGCCGTGAGTGGTCACTTATGCATGCACACACAGAGTAAGTTAACTTGTCTAAATATCAGTGTGAGTAGCTAGAGCCACGGGAGATCCCATGGATTCTTGGTTTCTTTCTTGAATTCACCCGAATCCTGCCAAATAAGTAAGTTACTGTGTGTGTGTCCGTCCCATCTGTAGGGAAGGTTTCAAGGCAAACTGACAGTTGCCCCATCTTCCACCGAGACTACTTCTGCCCCCCAGTAGAGGAAGTGCCAAAGTCTGAGAGAAACCCCGGGCAGAAGCTGGGATCACCGGGGAATTTCAAGGTTTGGGTTCCTGGTAAGATCTCCCCGGACCCCTCTCAGGAACCAGAAGAACGGCATCTCCAACTCGTAACTTCTCAGCCACGGGCTCTCCACTGCAACTTCTGTCCCACCAGGCCTCCTCCTAGCGAGCTGTGCGGAGGCCCGAGGAGGAGGAGCCCGGCGAGGGGCCCACGAGGCGGCCGTCACCTCGAGGCGTGCGCTCGGCCCCCATCCCTCCGGGCCCGGGAGGCCGAAGGGCGGAGCGCTCCGCCCCACGCGGGGCCCTGGGCGGTGTCTGCGCCCGGGTCTCGCCGCTCACCCGCCTCGTCCCCCTACCTGACTCGGCCGCCGCCGCCGCCGCCAGCGCGCTCCCAGCCCTCGGGGTCGGAGGAGGTGGAGGATGCGATTCGGGACCGGGAGACGGCAGGCCAGGGGAGAGGAGGGCCCGAGGCTGCACGCACTAGTACACGCCGGGCTCGGGAGAAACTTTCTCCGTTACCGGCCCCGCCACGGCCGCCATGCTTCCGCCGCGGGGGCCGCGACGGTACGGAGCGCCGCCGGGGACACACGGCGCAGAGCGCTTCGTTCCCGAGGTCCGGCCCTCCTCCCTGCCCAGAGCCGCGCGCAGGGCCCGGGCCGCAGGTGCTGCAGCTCCGGCTCCGGGGACAGCCGCCCCACCTCCGGCCCAAGATCCCCCAGGACCTGGAACCGGCGGAGGCAAATAGGGAATCGGAAAGGCCACCAAGAATCAGACCGAAATGTCCAGCCGGCATCTAGGCCACCGCCTCGGACTGAAGCATAACTGGGGCAGGATAGGTGGCCAGGGGCTCACGTGGACTATAAATGCTGCCAGAGACTTTGGCTCTCTTGGAGTCGGGGTCGTGGTCTACGGCTCTGTGCCCCCACTGGACAGCTAACGCCCTTCTGGGCCCTTCTCAACTCCAAATGGTTGCATGAACATGTGGGAATTGATGGCCAGGAAGCAATGGGAGACGGATGTGTCAGTGGGTGGGAAACTTTCAAGAGAAATATCGCAATTACGGGAGGGGTGGGGGGTGGTGCTGGTGGAAGAGAACAGAATTCTCTTCCTGCGAAGACAAGCCAGGGGGTTGTAACAGCACCTGGTGTAGGTCACTGGGTAGCGCAGTAAGGGACTTGACCGGATTAGTTAAACACGGGGAGGTCTCGCTAAACTGACTTAAGCAGAATTCTTTTGGGAAAACTGTGTGTTTACAAAGAAGCGCACAGATGGACGCAGAAGGTGGTTTAGATGCCCTCAGAAAGTCTGGTCACGCGAAGAATCTGGCAGTAGGTCCTCAAATAGTGTGAATTTTTTTCCAATCCCCCCCACACTCAGTTGATAGGCCCCCTCTTGCTTTCATTTCCTCAAATGCACGGGTTTCTGGTCTTGTTCACCCGTAGTCCAATGCCTCGCATGTATTTGGTATTTAAACATTTGTAAAAATAATAGGACACTATGGGCCACACATCTGTAGGAGTCAGCTACTCTCAGATTCAGATTCCAAACGTGTAGATGAGATGTTTGAGCTAGATTCTCAATGGATTGCAGTGTAAGTCTTTGACATGTAAAATGCATTATGTTTGTGGGCAATGCATGCATTTATGGGTACCATGTGATGTTCTGGTTCAGTCTGTCCCACTTCCCATTTAGCTCTCATACATGTCGATGGGCACTGAAGCCTTGTTCAACCCAACTAGCCCGACTATCCAGCCCAGGCTGGTGCCAGCAGGCGCCATTCCTGTCCCTATCCTGGTTCTCATGCTCACCAGTGGGAGTGGCAACCCAAGAGGCAGCTGCTCGCTGTTTCCCTAATGGGCCCACTCCTACTCCCACAGGTCTAGCCAATAGAGAAATAAAGCAAGCCTGCATCTCTTCCTTCTTTTTTTCACTTTATTTGTCCTAATGGCTTTCAAAACACTGCTTCCCAACACATTTCCCTACAGAGATGCCCCACCCCTTCCTGCCCCGGAAGTTCATTTGGAATGTCTATTTCAGTCCCTCGCCAAACTCCCCAGCTGTTAGCTCTCGACCTGAACATGGATTTTCATTTCAATGCGACTGGTTCTGAATTCCACCTTGCCTACCTGAGACTCTCCAGAAACCCAGATCACATTTTTAGCTTGTCTTGGGCGGAGCGTCTCCCAAACGGACCCTCGCCTTCCTTGCCTCCCTCAACACCCCCTGTCCTCGGAGCCGCAGCCCTGACCCCTACCCCCTCACCGCCTACCGCTTTCCACGATCTCCACCAGGTTCACTGTCTTGGGAAAGGCATACAGCTTCCCTTGAGGGGGGCAGTCTTCAGGGCCTCTGGTATCATGACCTTCTTCAGATCTTGTTCCATGACCCTGAGGTCAAATATCTTTCAGCAATCGCTCATTGCTTATAAAGTTCAGAAGCTTTCCCCAAAACATTGCAGGAACTGTTGTTACACTCATTGTTTCAAATATTTCTGTTCAGTTTGTTGTGCGGCCAGGTGGAATTGCCCTCTACGGAGTTTCATTTGCCTCTTCTCTATCTTTACCTCATTTGTTTTTCTAGAATACTTTTTTCTTGGTTTTACTTCTACCAACTTCAGTTTTTCCTTCAAATCTTACTACAAAACTATCTTTTTTTTAAGATTTGCTTATTTTTGTTGGAAAGGTAGATTTACCAAGAAGAGGAAGAGGAGAGACAGAAACAAAGATCTATTCCCTGGTTCCAAAGCCAGGAACCAGGAGCTTTTTCTGGCTCTCTCACATGGATGCAGAGTCCCAAGGCTTTGAACCATTCTCCATTGATTTCCCAGGCCATAACCAGGGAGCTGGAAGGGAACTGGAGCTTCTGGGAATGAGTTGGCATTCATACGAAGTGCTGCTACTTACAGTGGGAGGATTAGCACGTTGAGCCACCATGCTAGCACTTCAAAACTTACTTCAAATGCCACTTCTTCCAGGCACCTGAGTGCCACAGGTGAAAAAATTTTTGTTAATTCTCATGTATGTGTAAGATGACTAACCACATTGACATTTTGTCATACTTTCCTATTTTGCTGTTTTAGTTACCTGGAAAACCTACAAGCCTATACCGGTTCACAAATTCAATCAGCACAAACTCCACAGAGTATAAAGCTCGAGTCCTGAAATAGCTGTTGTGGAGTGGATTAAGTTGCTGCTCTGTATAACCTCCTGTATTGGAGAGGCTTTTTTGAGTTCTTGATTATTTTTTAAAGATTTATTTTAGTTTTGTTCAAAAGTCAGATATATAGAGAGGAGGAGAGACAAAGATCTTCCTTCCAGTGATTCACACCCCAAGTGGCTGCAACAGCCAGAGCTGAGCCAATCCGAAGCCAGGAGCCCGGAACCTCTTCTGAGTCTACCACATGTGTGCAGTTCCCAAGACTTTGAACCATCCTGGACTGCGTTCCCAGGCCACAAACAGGGAGCTGGATGAGAAGCAGGGCTGCTGGGATTGGAACCGGCACCCTACAAGGCCTCCATTACACTAGGCTCAGGGTGTTGACCCTCATGCAGCAGCACTGTAAGCATATAAGAGCTTGGATTCATTTTTTGATTTTTTGCTGCTTTTATATTAAGAATTTATATTTATATTTAGCCTGCACTTTTTTAAAAGAGGGATGACAATAAATACCTGTTATTAGTTGGTTTTTTTGGGGGGTGGGGGTGTTGTTTTCCCCTGTCTATGTTTAAGTTCTTCTCAACCTTCTGTTACTGCAAGAAAATGAAAGGACTTTGAAGCAGGGGTGAAAGTGCAGGATGAGTGGGCCGTCATTCCTGGATGCGGATGGTAAGAGCATGTGGAACGCCTGTCTTCTCTGGCGGAGTTTAAACTCTATGAATCAGGGCATTGTAATCGCTCTGCTACCTGTCAGCTTTTCAGCAGATTGCACATGGAAAAATTTAAATATGTGTTTACTGAATTAAAAACCACATAAGCTCATTTGCTTCTTTAAAACAAGATATACTTAGCTCCCCAGACACTATCAGATAATACACTACATAAGGTTGACAAACAACGAACTAGAATTTACACTATTGTCTTAGTTCTGTCTTCATAAAAATATCCCAATCATTTGAGTTCTCTGTGTCTCAGTGAATTAATTTATGAAAATAAAGGGATTTTACTAGATGAAACTCAAAAGAAAAACTCTACACGTCACTCCAATTGCTTTCCTATCCTGAAGCACTCAGGGTATTGGACACCTTGACATTTTGTTTATAAGCAATAGACAAAGAGTATTAGAAAATTTAAAATTTTTAATAAATGTGCTTTGTTCACAAAATGTGAAAAAATACAACAACACAAACATACATTTTCAGGAATGCTACCTTCCACCACTTGGCAACCACGGGAAAACCACATAACTGAGTCGTGATCCCAAAGAATCCAACCGGATGATTATTTGTTTTTGAAATGCCAAATTATTTTGAAGAATCTGTTGTGAATGTGCCAGGAGGCCCCTTTTTTACATTCAAATGAAATCATTTTTAAGAGTACCCATACAGTTTCCGAAGGCTTCTCTTGTCACTACACTGTGATTCGGCATCATGCCATCATGACTGCTTACATCTCAACACTTACACACTGAATTGGCATTGGTGGAACACACGCACTGTTTTAAAGTTCTGTGACATCCTAATTTGAAGGAGCTGAATTTACAGTAACAAATGATATAGGTTCAAATAAATTCATAGTAAGCGGTAGGTTTTACAAAGAATTTTCTTTGAAGTACTACTTAACATACATCATGCACACTTTGGAGCATAAGCAGAACGAACACCTGTAAACAATCAGATTTATAGCACCAACATTGTAGCTGTAACACAAAGATCAACTGACTCCAAGGAATACACTTAATCAAGCCTTTCAAAAGCACTGTTTTCATTTACTTTCAAAAGCAATTTCATTTGGTACACTTTTTTTTTTTGCTCTTAAGATTAAATCTCACCAAAAAAGAGAAACTAGTGTAAGAAGTACTACCAAAATAGTTATTTATTGTGAACACTCTGCTCTTTAATTTTTTTTTTTCTTTTTAAAGTTAAAAGTCATGATCCTTCAGTGCTTAACTGGAAAGAAAAAAAAAGTCTAAGAAATCTTATGCTGTTGAAAGTAAATGAAAACTGCAGGTTACTTGTGGATTATTTGAACAACTAGTATTTGTTGAATTTAGTCAACTGACTCTTTCTGGGTTAGTTAACAATTTCAAAACTTTTAATTAGCATGTGAAATTTAATTTGAAATATCAGGTAAATACTCATTTATATCTTGAAAAGTAAGCTTTATATTTCTAAATAAAAGTTCTGACACTGAAACTACAGCAATTCACAATAAAGCACAAAAACATCAGCCTTACCAGAATAAAGAAGTGCAGAGTATGAAATTTAGGATCAACTATTGAAAACGCAGGTCTCCTTTAAAAACACACACACACATACACACAACAGTAACCATGAAGTCTGAAACTGTGATAGTTCAGTGCAAAAACCTCAGTATGAGGCAATTTTAATGTAACAACCACTTGAAAAAAAAAATCCACACAGTGGCACTCTTAAAAATGAGAGTTGACATGACAATTGCTGGCTGACAAGACAATGTGGACAAAATGTTCTTAACGGATTAAAACTACTCTCGTCTTGTTTGGACATATATTTCTCCTTAATCATTTGCTTCTGATCCAGAAACACAGCATTTATCAACGTGGAAAGGGAAAATTCCCACAGTCAACGAATGGTTTACATATTCAAAGAAAATTTTCTGCTCGGGTTTAGACAAAAGTAAGGATACAAAAAGGTCGAAATTATTTTGAGATTCCCAGCAAACGGTTAATTTTAAATTGTCTAAATACTTTCAAACTTGTAGTGCAGCACCTCCATAATGGAAAGGTGAGGACCCTCTCAAAGTTGGTTGAGACAGAACAAATTCTTAACAAGTGCAAACCCTTTCATGAAGGTGTTTCAGGTCAGTATTGAGTACTATATAGTTTCTTGCTTAAGTAGAAAATTTTGTAAATGAAACCTATGTTTAAAAAGGTATAAGTGAACTTTTATAGATAAATATATTTCACACCAAGGCTCAAATCAATAAGGGAGTTATGGAAATACTACTTTGGCAATGGTGTTTATTGTGCTAATGAAATCGGATATACATTTTGGGGGAAATATTTTCCCCATTGTCTGATGTTATCAAATGAGATTTCAATAGAATTAAAAAAAATTCATCAATTTAAAAAAAATTCAAGAAATACCAGATCATCAGACAAAACAGAACACAAGATGGCTTTCTGTGATCGGTAACAATTTAGGAAAAGGTAAGTGCATCACAAAAGAACTAAGCCGATCTGTGTCTGTATCACATTTAAGTTGTGAGTTGTCAAAGTGCAATCTAGAGCTTTCTACAGATCCTCAAGTTTCCCACTGCAATGCTTTAAAGTCAACATGGAAAAGCCGAAAAGGAAAACTGATAGCAACTTGTTTCACTTTTCACAGCAGCACTAAAGAGGAAAAAATAAAAAGGTACCTTTCTAGAATAGTGCTAACTGCTATAAAGTAACAGTGGTTTTTGCTATGACAGGAATCACTCTGCATGAAACTTCAAGCTTTCCATATAAGAATAAATTTAAAAATCCGGAAGTAGAGAAAAATAGCAAACTCTGTGTAAACCTTTGCATTTCTTCTATGCAAACCAGGTTTTAAGTACTGAGTTCATGTTAGTATTTTCAATTAGTGTAAGCAATTAGTTTAGGAGTCTGGACTGAACAAGCCTTCTGTTTTTATACTAACTTAAAAGTAATATGGGATCCTCTAACTCATAGAAAGGAACAGAGCTGGCTTGACTTTCTCCTGAATCTGAGTCATACGGAGCATCGGGGAGCTCTGTGAAACCACACGCTAATTGTTCATCTTCTATATCTGAGCGGACATAGCTGGGAGGGTTAGAATATTCCTCATCTTCTACACTGTTGAAATCTTGAGGAATGTACAACATCCCTGGATAGTTCCTACTAACCAAGTCACTTGTGGTTTTTAGGGAGATTTTCCTAAATGCCATCAGATGCATATGGGAAAATTTTGAATACTTGAAGCGTTTAAAACCCAGAGATTCTATAGCAATCTTCCAGCTTTTCATCATCATAGCATGTCGGTTCTGGTGGGAGGAATCAGGCGTGATGATAAGTAATAAGCCATTTAAAACTAACAGTTCATGGGCTTTCTTGCAGCAAATCCATCGCTGATAAGGTGATGGAAAATATGAAAGAAGAAGAGAGAAAACAACTACGTGGAAAAGTTCTCCAGGAAGAGAATCAATAGGGTTCTTCAGTTGTTTCAAAAAAGCATCTATAGCATCCTGTGCAAGCTGGAGTGGTTGCTGAAGCTGTAAATTCAGGAAGTCACATTTATAAACACTCTGCAGAAAGAGGAAAAACAAGGGATATTATTAACAACTCCAGATCGCATCCACCTTTCATACTGACACACTCGTTCAATGAAATTGTTTCACTTCAACACTTCATATAACTCCAGCTCCAATGACATACCTTCGTACCTATGCCTTCTAAATGTTCAAGCATGCAGATGTATGTAACCAAAGCTGTTTAATTTCAAAAATCTCAAGAGTAATTAGTTTTAGTGAATTTCTGGGCATCATCTAACATATATACATAGCTCTGATTAACAATTTGAAATTAGAAGTAATTAGAAGTAATTTTTAAATACTTTTTTTTAAAAAAATCAAATTTAATTTTGTTTAAGTGTTTACTTAATAATGTATTATTAAGCTTTGTCCTACTTATATTCACTTTAACATTCAATGTTAGGGGCCCGGCGGTGTGGCCTAGTAGCTAAGTCTTCACCTTGAACGCCTTGGGATCCCATATGGATGCCTGTTCTAATTCTGGTGGCCCTGCTTCTCATCCAGCTCACTATCGCATCTTTGGGTCTGCATTAGGAAAAAGCAGGCCTCGGGAGCCAGAGGTGGGTAACAGAATCCAGGTTACTAACACGGGATAGATGTTGTGATTGTGAGTCCAGATGACCACCCTAGCAACAGGTATTAACACAAATGAGCTAGTCTCTCACTCTTGTTAGTGGACAGACAGGCAGGTCACATAATCATCTGGACTGTCTGTTGAGGAAAGGGATATCCTATTTCAGGAAAAAGAGTCTTGTTTTATTACTTTTTTTTTTCTTAAAGAAAGCTTTCTTGGTGTGTAACTGACATCAACATTAATATTTATTAAAATACTTTTCTGCAAAAAACTTTATCAAGGTACTAGTTCCCATGTGCCAGTTGACTCAAATGTCGACAAAAAAGAGAAGATGAGGCCTCAGCCCAGCTCTCCCGTGTGTGCTTTAGCAGAGAGCTGGGAAATGGTGAAGGGAGCAGGCAGACAGAGCTGCGCCCCACCGGGGAGCAATTCAAGTGCCTGAAATGGCCAGGACTGGGCCGGACCAAAGCTGGGCACTCAACCGGGTCTCCTGTTTGACGGGAACTAAACTCCTTTTCATTACTGCCGACTCCTCGGATGTGCATTCACAGGAAGCTGCAGGTAGGAACTTCAGCACTTCATGAAAGGATGCAGGTGTCTTTACCGCTAGGTCAAATGCTCGCCCCAAATCCACACTGTCCTGATTACTATCATTTTTATTTTTTAATGCTATTCAATTTTAATTTATATAAAGCAAGTAGATTTCACATTTTTGGTCACTACAGTTTTATATGTTTTGAAGTAAGATAATATTACTCTCTAGTACTGTCTTTTGTCAACATTCTTTTGAGCTACTCTATGTACTATGAATTTCCACACAAACTTCCAATAAACTTTCCAATAAAATTTCAAATTCCTACAAAAATCTAATAAGATCTGGACTGAAGACTGCATTGAATCTATAAATTAATAAAGACAGAAATGACATGTGAACAATGTTGAATCTCTACCAATAAACCGAGTGTATGGATCATATCTTGAGATTCTTTCAATTTTCGGTTTTCAGTGTAGAGGTTTCTCTGCATATTTTGTCAGACATTTGATAAACACATACTAAATATATGTTTGCATCTGAAAGCTTATCTTAAATCAGGAGCCAGGAGCTTCTTCCAGGTCTTCACGCAGGTGCAGCAGCCAAGACACAAACTAGTACCCATGTTGGATCCCAGTGCTTGCAAGATGAGGATTTAGCCACTGAGCCATTGGGCTGTGTCATGAAAGCTTATCTTTAATGTACTACTAATAATACTGTTTCAAACTTCAGTATCTGATTGCTGTTGGTAAATATAAATCAACTGATTTCTGTACATTAATCATGCATATTGCAACCCTGCTAAGTCACTACTTCTATTATCTTCGATGTAATAACCTAGTATACGGTCAGGAACAAGGACAGATTTAGTTCTTCCTTTCAAATCTGGATGCCTTTCATCAGCTTTTTCTTAAGCTACTATAAGAACTTCAACTATAATACTGAATAGAAGTGGCAAGAACACACATCCTGGGCCCGTCACGGTGGTTTAGTGGCTAAATACTAGCCTTGCATGTGCCAACATCCCATTTGGGCGACAGTTCATGTCCTGGCTGCTCCACTTCCTATCCAGCTTCCTGCTTGTGCCCTGAGAAAGCAATGGAGGATGTCGCAAAGCCTTGGAACCCTGCACCTGTGTGGGAGACCCAGAAGAAGTCCTGACTCCTGACTTCGGATTGGCTCAGCTCCGGCTATTGCAGCCACTTGGGGAGTGAACCAGTAAACAGATCTTTCTCTATCTTCTTCTCTTTGTAAATGTGCCTTTCCAATGGAGAAGGGTACATCTTAAAAACAAACAAACAAAACGAATACATGTCCTTATTTTGATCTTAAGGAAAATTATTTTTTCTTTCACTAAGGATGATATTAAGCAAGTTTACTGTATATTTCAGAAAGAGATACATTAGTAAAAGAATCTAAATCAAATCTTAAAGCCTAACCCTGCAGTCTTATGGATATTTTTGCAATCCACTGAAGTTTCTGACTCACAATGGTTTTATTATAGCACAGTTACAGATTTTTGTTATTTAGATGATAAATAAATAGAAGCATGGTACTGGTCACATTAATTAAAAGCTCAAATTTTTACAGGATACTGATTTTGAAAGAAAATAATCTTATCAAATGTCACACAGGAAGTCTGCCATTTGAGGCACATGAGCATACTGGTCTTGCTCTCTAACTATGCATGTTAATACTCAAGCATGAAATCAAACTTGCATACCTCTACCGCAGGCACAATGTCTATGCCAACAGTTAGAAATTCTTCAAATTTCAGAAATGGGTTAAAGCAGCTGCCAACATCAAGTAATCGAATCTTTCCTGAGGCTTGTAGCAACCTGGAAGCAGAAATTTGTTATAAAAGGCAAAATAAAGAAAACTGGCAAAACTAAAGAGAAAATTCATAATTTTGAATGAAAAAGGCAATGCAGATTGCTAGTGCTTACGCTTTTTACTCCCAGGACCACTTTACACATTCAAAAATTACTGAGGGTACCACACAATTTTTGTTCTTGACCATATTTGCTGTTAAAACGTGAAAGATAAAAGAATATTCATTCATTAAAAATCTGTATATTGTTTTAAAAATACTACATCTGAAAAAGTAAAAAGGGAGAGATTATATATATTTTTGAAGTTTCTTTATGTCTGGCTTAGTGAAAGATCAATGATTCTAATATCCGCTTTTGCATTCACCTGCTCCAACCGCACCTACCGTGCAGGATCTGGAGAACTCCATCCTGTACTCATGACATGAGAGGTACAAAGTGGGAAAATGTGTCTTTTTATGAATAATTCGTAAGGACCTAAAAAGTATCTCAAATCCCCAGGAGGCATTTTGAGAACTCCAATAGTCAACCCCCAGAAGGTCTATCTTACTCATATTTACTCTTTTAGTACTATGTGCACTAATAATCACAGATCTGGGAAAACAACTGACATTTGTCTTTCGAGGACTGGTTTGTTTCACTAAATATAATGGTTTCCAACTGAATTTATCTAGTTCACTTTTTATGGCTGAGTAGTATTTTACAGTATATATATATCACATTTCCTTGATCTAGTCATCAGTAAATGGACACCCACAGCTGCCACTCTCACTACTGCACAAGCCTCTCTGAAAGGCAATGACTCCTTAATCTGGACCCTTTGCTGACCAGCCTTCTCAACTCCGATCTTCACTGTGGCTTCCTCTTCATCCCGGACATTCCTCTCCATCTAAACAACTGAAGTTTTTCTCTCCTTTATCATCTTCCTCTAAATTGATTCAGTTGACATTTTCTATATCTTGATCATATCACGTAGTTCCACAAAACCGTATAATCCAAAAATGCAGCAGACACTTCCTTTTTTCTTTTTTAAAGGTTTATTTATTTAATTGAAAGACAATCAACAAAGAGGATAAAACAGATCTTCCATTAGCTGGCTCACTCAATATAGCTACAGTGTCCAGGAATGGCCAGCATGAAGCCAATAGCGTGGGCTCCGTGTGGATGGGTCTCCTGGGGAGTGGCAGGAGGCCAGGCGCTGGAGCTCCCTAGGATCTGAACTGGCACACTCATGGGACGCTGGCATCACAGAAAACAGTTTCACCCTTCGTGCCACAAACAATGCCAGTCCTGGCAACTGAGAATTATACATCTATTTTCTGATATTTCAACTTGTTTCTTAGCTCCAGACTCATCTTTTCAATAATATATAATATTTTGGCAGAAGGCTGGAAGTACTTTTAAATTCAATTTATAGAATAGTTCCAATTATCTTCTCATTTCTTAAAACTCTTCTTCAAGAATCCTACCCATAAATCATTTACTTCACAAGATAAAGGTCAATAGAGACTTCTTGCTTGCATCTCTCCCAACAGGTACTATTACTTATTTTTTGATTGTATTCTGATTCACAGTCCCATCTATTATACCTTGCAACTGGTCTCTATTTATTAGAGTATTCTCCAGCCTATAAAGTGTATACAGATGGATCTACATCTATTGCATCCCTTATTGGACACCAGTTTGTGTCCAAGCTGCTCCACTTCCTATCCAGCTCCCTACTTATGCCCTGGGAAAGCAATGGAGGATGGCCCAAAGCCTTGGGACCCCGCACCCACGTGGGAGCTCTGGAAGAGGTTCCTGCCTTCATTCAGATTGGTTCAGCTCCAGCTGCTGGCAGCCATTTAGGGAGTGAACTAGTGGATGAGAGATCTTTAAGTCTCTCCTCTCTATAAATCTGCCTTTCCAATTAAAAAAAAATCTTAAACAAACAAAAAACACACTAAGAACACAGCATTGGCCCGGTGTGATAGCGTAGTGGTTAAAACCCTCGCCTTGCACGCCCGGGATCCCATATGGATGTCGGTTCTAATCCCAGCAGCCCTGCTTCCCATCCAGTTCCCTGCTTATAGCCTGGGAAAGCAGTCAAGAATGGTCCAAAGCTTTGGGACCCTGCACCTGTGTGGAAGACCCGGAAGAAGCTCCTGGCTCCTAGCTTCAGATTGGCTCAGCTCCAGCCGTTGTGGCTGCTTGGGGAGTGAATCACTGGACGGAAGATCTTTCAGTCTCTCCTCCTCTCTGTATATCTGACTTTGTAATGAAAATAAAATAAATCTTAAATAAATAAATAAATAAATGAAGTAGAAAAAATGTACTTACTCAGTTATAAATTCAGGATTTGTAAAGCTGAGGTTGGTTAAATGACCTTCAAGTTTAGAAGATTCACGGGTATTTAAGGCTGGAGTGGTCTTAGTAGCAAGTATAGCTCTTTTTTCATCTTTTTCAAGTGCTTTTCTCTTCCCACCATTTTGGAAATATTCTCTGCATACACTAAAAGTCAAAATAAAGTTATATATTTTAGAACAAAAGGTATGATTATTGAACAAAATGGAAAAACATTAATCTTTTAAAGAAATGTAGGAAGCTTTCAAATTAAGATTTCTACTTTGAAATGTTTAACAGGGTGTATTTGAGCTCTTAGTAACAAAGAACAGTAAGAGAATATTTTCAATAAAAAAAATTTCAAAAATACAGGTATGCCTATATGTATTTCACTCATCTGTGTTTGTAACTAAGACATAAACTGCCCACCACTGCTTGGATAACACCACTATTCAGAGACAGCATCAACACAGAACACTAGCCACAGTTAGCCTTGAGTCAGCTTGGCAAATAGTAGACAGATAACCCAACAGTTGTTGGTGAGATCACTCAGGGTGTCAACAGATTGAAGAGGCTTTTTAAGTTGCTCTGAGAGAAGAACATAAAAATCTCATGCTGGGAAGAAAGAAAGGTATCATTACCAAAAGGCATAAATTCAAACAGACCAGAAACTTGAACATAGGAATTCTTTTTTCTTTATTACAGTACTTGGAAACTATTCTTGCTCTCATCAAGAGACCACTCTTCATATACCAATTCCTACACCATTTAAACAGATTTATTTTTGAGATATATCATTTTCAGTTGAGATAAGATACTGTTCAAACTTAAACTGATAATTGACACATAAGCAATTTTAAAATTTATAATGCATCTAATATAAATATAGGATGAACACAGTAAGGCATCATACCAGAGTATGTAATAAGAAAATCAAATGGACCCAAAAAATCAAGTCTGGCTGGCACTAGGCACAGCAATTTGAATTGCTTTCTGAGACATTAGCACCCCATAAGGCTGATAGTTCGAGTCTGTGCTGCTTCATTTCTGATCCAGCTTGTTGCTAATGTGTCTGGAAAAGCAGTGCAAATGTTCTAAGTGTTTGCGCCCCTATTGCCACATGGAAGACCTTTGTGGGAGATCACTCCTGGATCTCTTCCTGCTTGGCCTATGTGGGAGGTCATAGACATACAGCATACTGTGTCCCCAGGGCAACCCCTGACTAAGGTTTCGGCTAACTGAGATCTCAACCTGGCCTGTTTATTGGCTATATAGGTGAGAGCAGTGGGTTTCATCCAGTCTCTCTTCTCTGTCCTTGGATGAGCTGTGCTGTGATGCCTTGATAAGCAACGTTGAGAAGTGCGAGTGGTCCACATTACCTGCCAGCCATGTATGTTGTACTCGACCTTTTATATGATTGGAGGGACCAAAGACATAGACATACCTTCTAGCCAATTACAATGCTGTTGCTGCGTGGAAGGACCGTCTGGAGATGCCCTTCTGCTTCCTTTTTCTTAGACTACATAAGTTTGTGCTTGCATTACAATAAGGGGACATGCTCGATCAGACTCTCTCCCTTGGTTCTTGCTGCCTCACCCCCTCGGTTGGAGCAGGGGACCTAATGAACTGGAAACTTACAGGAGACCTTGAAAAAGCTTGTCTCTTGGATCCAGTCTGGCTCAGCTCTGGCCATTGTGGCCACTAGGAAGTGAATCTAGGGATGGAAGATCTATCTGTCTCTCAAATAAATAATTTTTTTTTAAAAAAGAATCAAGTCAATATTAGCTACAAAATCAAGAAAGTTAAAGGGGAAAAAAAATCTGAAAATTATCTGAGCTGTGATCCTTGTATTCAAAATGTCACAAGACACACACTTGAAAACAATTGATGAGCTTATCCAAAATTACTTAACGTGAAAGTGGATGGATCTGAATAGTTCTTTTTTTCTTTTCAGATTTTTAATATACACCACATTATCATTACAGATAACTCTTACTTTAAAACAAACTAGGCTACTTTTCTCCAGGCATTGCTTTGTAAAGGTCTAAAAATACATGGCAGCAAAAAATTTCTTTTGCAACTGTTTTATGCAAACAGAAATAAGTTTTGAACATGTAACCCTCACTTCTCTCTCACAATTATAGGATACCATTAACTCAACTTCTGTTTTCCTTAGTCCTAATTTTAATTTACTTCTGTAACTTATTCTCTGCACATTCAGTTTTCACTCTGAATGAAGAAATTGAAATTCATTCATCATGAAGCACTTACTAGGTTTTTATCACATGTGAAGGCACACAGGTGATGGCAAATCAAATGGACAATGATAAGGATGCTATCCTCACGGGGATCAGAGTAGTGAAGGAAATAATTCTATTGGAAATCTGAGAGACGATGGAATTAAGACAATGTGCATCTTTTACAAACTATTTTAAGGTACTCTTATATATTTATATAAATGAAATACCTAAGCCAATCTAACATTGATATTATATAAGCGGATTTCAGAAAGCTCAACAGAAATAAACCAGGCAAGGAAGAATGTTAGGTATGGAGGAAGGTGCTTTCCAGGCAGAGACGGACATGCAGAGGAATGGGGGAGAACAGCAAGATGGACCCTGCAGGGAATGACCTCAGCTGAAGGGACATGACGTTTACCAGGGAAAAATGTATAGAAAGACTCAGACATGACAACGTCCTGGTACCAGCACACACAGAAAGGAATGATAACCAGGTTAACAATGATAACAGGTTAACCTGGGGAGTAAGTAATCTTCCAGGTGTACAAGGAAATTTTCTGAAGTGACAGAAATGTCCTACATTTTGATGGTCGTGGTGGTTACACAAGCATAATGAATTATTAACACCCATTGAACAATACTAACCTATATACATTGCATTGTACATAAATTGTACCGGAAGTTGAAAAACGTACAGCTTTTTATCAACCTGGAACTGAAATAACTCCTAAACTATACACATTATATTTATACTAAAAATGATTTGTCTATGATACAGTGTTTCACTAAGTTATGAATTACAAGATACGCTCTTCTCCCTATTGATTTACTTCCCAAATGTCCACAACTGCTGGGCTGCACAAGCTGAAGGCAACAGCTGGCACCTCATCCAGGTCTCCACCCAATGCAACAATTATGCTTCTTGTTGTCTTTACAGGAGTTGAAAATTTATGTCTATACATAAACTTATAAATAAAAACGTAACTGTTTATAGTCAAAGATGCTTTAATAATTCATAACTGCCAAAATTTAGAAGCAAGCAAAATATTCTTCCAAAGATAAACAGAATATAGTGGTAAAAAGAAAAGAGCTATCAAGTCATGAAAACATGTTACTAACTAAAAAAAAAAAAGACATGTTACTAATTAAAAGAGGCCAATCTGAAAATGCTAGAGTGTAGCATAGCTGTTATATGCCATTGGTAAGGCCAGCTTCAGAGATTGCTTTCCCAGGCCACAGAGGGGAGCCAGATGGAAAGTGGAGCAGCTGAGACACAAACCAGTGCCCATATGGGATCCTGGCACAAGCAAGCTGAGGACTTCAGTTACTGAGCCATCATGCAGAGTTCCTGACTTTGGACCAGCCCAGCTCTATCCATTGCAGCATTTGGAGGGTGAATCAGCAGGTGCAAGATCTCTGTTTTGTCTTTCTCACTTTGTACCACTCTGTGTCCAAAATCCTGCCTTTCAAATAAATACATAAACCTTAGAAAGAAGGAAAAAAATGGAATAGATAACATGTACGTCTGGTATATTACACTTAGAAGGACAAAACACTACATACGTAATATCCATTCCAATAATGTTTAATTTGAATGCAATCACAGAAAACTGCATAGGAATACAAAATGAGAAACATTTTATGAAATACTGACTTTGAAGAAAACAGTGTGTGTCAAGAATTTTATATCTAGTCAAGCTGAGCATTTTATAACAAAATTACATAAAACTAGTTGTTCTTATACAAAGATTTAGGGAACATTATAATTACTAACTTTTTTAAAGGAATCTACTGGAAGATGAATAACCATGAGGTAGTTGACAAATACTGCTGAAGAGGCTAGTAACAAACAAAAAGCATTAAATGAATTCAAAAGGATATTTTATAATGCCGAAGCCCACAACTGCCAAGAAAGACATAATAGCTATGAATATTTATGTGCTATTTATCATAAAAGCCATCTTACAAAACAAAATTCTATGAGATGCATGGTGAAACAGACATAATACAATATGAAACAGACATGAATGAAAAATAATTAAGGTTACAGAAGCCTGGAAGAATATACTAAGGTTACTTTATTGTTAAAAAGATGAATTTAGCACTCAAATTAGAGTAGAGCTTCTTTGCAAGTTCTCATGAAATTTCACAAACATTATCATACATATAGTAAGTCATAAAGGAAAAATAATACAGGAAATTACATAATCACTACATAATAAAATTAGAATATTAATAACTGAAATAAATAATAACTGAAAACAAAAAAAAAATTATTCTACCTGAAAACTAACTAAAGAACCCTTGAGCCAAAGAGGAAATACTAATAAAAATACTATGAGGAAATACTAATAAAATCAGGTTCCTAAAAACATACAATGGAAGTATTTCACATCAGAATCTAAGGAATTCAACTAAAATAAGTGACCTGAGGAAAATTCAGACCCCTTTAAAGTAATATCAGCACAGAGGAACAAAGGCAAATAGAAGTTCAATTCCAAGGGTTGGAGAAGAGAGTAAAGCCAAAGAAAGGGGGAAGAAATACTGTTTAGGACAGAACAAGACCAACAAATATACAGTTTATTTAATCTTCATAATGTTCTTTTTCTAGGAAAATATCCTAACACAGCACACAGAAATACAGGATAATCTGCTAAATTTGACTCTAGTAAAAATAAAAAGTTTAAATAAAACCCAAATCCAAACACGAACTAGAGAGTGACGGGAATATCTCACCAAAAAGGCAGTCCAATGAGGAATTCTAAAGTCTACAAGAAAAACAGACAATCCTTCAATTACTGAATTTTTTTAAAGCTTTTTGTATTTTATGCTTTGACATCTGAGGAGAATGGGAGAGGCAGGTCAATTACAGATATCCTTCCCCTCTTAAAACAGCAACAATAATAACAACAACAATAAAAAACACTATGCCACCTAGGGTTATTTCTTAGTAAACAACTTGATCTGAGAGCAGCTCCTCACACACAAACCAGCCACTTTTGTAATTCTTGTGGACCAACCCAACAATCCCTTTGCCCTAAATCAATACAGGACCATATATCAAATAGCAGAGAACAGCCCCATTTGCACCAATCCCTGCTGACATTATTCAAAACTACTACAGCCTGAGCTGTTCACTCAGCCCTTCCAACCTTTCCCACAGAAACGCCAATGAGGCTCCGTTCCGGCTGTCACCAAGCTCTGGCTCTACTGCCTCTTGTGTTCCCTTATGGCTCTGCATGGTGTGGTAAGCAACCTTCTTCAGCAAATGTAGTAACTTCCTTTCTGAGGTATTGACCTCTCCACATTGTCAGTCACCTCTACAAATTAAAATCTCATGATACAAATGAGACAATCTTGAGACTACATAAAAATTTCATAACCATAGATGTAAACTTTCTAATCTCATTTTTAGAGAGCAAAATAACAATTATAATTAACTCTGATAAAAACTATAAAAAACATACACTTTGTATGACTTATAAATACCAATGTGAAACATGAAATAAATGTTAACAAACAGAATCATACTTAACCATCTGGTATATATTTCAGAAATACAAAGATGTTTCACTATTAAAAAATCCATTAATAAGACTCAGTATATTCATAAATCCAAGGAGAAAATGTATTCATCTTCACAGATGCTGAAAGATTATTCAACAAAATTTAACACTGATTCTTCATTTCATCTTAGCAGAAAGGCCAAGAAGTGATAACACAAACTTTTAGACAAAAATGTTAAACAAAACACAATTGATTATAACAGTAAAATTGTTTTTATATGCCCAAATCACACCAACTTACCCAATAGGAACACACCATAAATTACTGTGATTCAACAGATTCATCTGAATAAAGGACAGCTATGTAGCATACAAAAGGATTTTGTTAAATGAAGTAGATAAGAAGAAATAAAGCTGTGTATTCAAAGACGACTGATGGATACACATATAGACAACCCAAAAAAATCAACCACAATCTAAGGCAAACAAGAGAAGTCATTAAAATGACAAGATATAAAACAGAAGAATCTAAGGATTCTAGGAATTGTCATATATAATGAAAGGGAAAACCACATTTATAACAACCAAAAAAATGATACTATCAATAAACACAAGAAATGTATCCAACCATTACATAATGAGTTCCCAACAAGTTCATGGAAAATTTTGTAATCTGAAAACAATGCATGGATTTCAAAATTGATTTTGTACCAAACTAAATTTATCTTTAAATTCCGTTTCACCATCAACTTTCTTTCACTGTCATACAGAAACCCATACAATACCACTGACTAAAAAGTATAGCAAATATAAAACTATACGTTTTTCTTGGATGATGATTCAATATTACAAAAAAAATCTATTTTTTTTTCAGTTTGTAATAAAACTAATGTAATCCCAGTAATAATACGATTAGCTGGATCAGTGGGCAGGCATTTGGTCTGGTAGCTGCAGGTTGGGATGTCCACTCTCCCACCAGGGTACATGGGGTTGAGTACTGACCCTGCTGCATTTCAGCCTGTTGTTGAAATATGCCCTAGAGGCACCAGATGACACCTCAAGTGGTTTGGTCCCTGCCAGCCATACGGGAGATCTGGAGTGACTGAGTTCCTAGCTGTTGGGTTTAGGCCCAGCCATCACAGGCATTTGGGGAGAGAACTAGCACACACGATAAAGGCACATGCTTTCTCTTGCTGTGTCTCTCAAAAAAGTGCAAATGGAGAAACCCTAACCATGAATAAGAGTACCTGGAGAGAGAAGAGTGTGCTAGCCACAAAAAACTACTAGGACATTCATAGAAAGACTGCATTTATGGACAACCAATTAAGAGAAAATTTCAGTAAAGAAGTGATGGAACAGCACAGAGATTCCATAAACCACCAAAGACAGAGAACAAACACCACTACCACGGCTTCTACACTGTCAGCTACTGGACAGTGGATGCCATCTTACAAAAAAAAGCCAGAAGAAAATACCACAGCTACTATAGACTGGCTGCCCTAACTACAGTAGAATTCTGCAGTCCTCAATGAATTTAAATCCAGTTGATAGAGATGACTAGGGTATAAGTGATTGTTTTCCCCTGGAAAGAAAGAAACAAGGAACTCACACTGCCTTCCTCACCCAAAGTATCAGACTCCAATCTGTCGGGGTAGGGTTGCTACTAAACTCTGTCCTAACTTAAGAGAGAGCAAGCAGCCCTGTTGCTATCACAAGGACCTGTGACGAGGCATCTTTCAAAGCAAAGAGCAGATTAACTGCATCCTGCAGGTGTGTGAATTCTGGCCACAAGCCCCATAGCCACATTTGCTCACATTGTAAGAACCAGCAAAGTTCCCTTTTGCTTCTTGGGGATACAGCAAGCCAAAACCAACCCAAGAAGATGAGACCCGAAGAAGGCCTTCCTGTATCTTCAGCTCACGGTCCTGGGTGGGAGCTAGGCCCAGTTCCTCCTGTGCCTTGCAGATCTGAGACTGCTGGTTTCATTTCTACAATCTCTGGAGTAACTTTGACTGATCTGCAGTACCCAGGGAATTTTTTAGGGTGGTGGCTGCTTTAGGCTCATGACTGCCAACCCACTACCCCAAAACCAAGTGGCTTTAAATGTGAAGGACCTCAATACAAAACCACTCCATCCTGCAGCACCAGCACTGTCACTATTAGTAGCAGATTCTTTCCACTCACCAGACTCTACCCCTATGGGATCTAGGAAAGAACCTATTCGTATTCCACCTCTCTTGACTCAGACCTGGGAAAACAGGAGAGAATGGCCTAAAGCCTTGGGATCCTGCACCTGCACAGGAGACCTGGAAGAGGCTCTGGGCTCCTGGCTGAAGATCAGATCAGCTCCAGCCATTGCGGCCACTTGGGGAGTGAATCAGTGGACAGAGGATCTTCCTCTCTGTCTCTCCTCTCTCTGTGTATCTGCCTTTCCAATAAAAATAAATAAATCTTTTTAAAAAATTACCTACATAAGGCAGGGGTAAATGAAAAAAAAATGGAGCCTTTTACGAATATACAAAGGGCAGGCCTATTGGGGATTATTGGGAGTCACTCCGACTAGGCTGCAGTTTCCACAGGTGTATGTGGGGGCCAAGTGTGTGTGGGCAGGGCTGTGCTGAACTGCAGCATCCATTGGTTTATTTAAGAGACGGGGCTGGAACCAGAACTGAGCCAACAATTGCAACTACCAATGTGTGCATAGGCTGACGTGGATGATGGACAGAGTTGGACCAAATACTGGCAGGTACATACAAGATTCAGGTACGTACAAGCAACAGCCAGTGCTGTCAATCCAGAGCCAGGAGCAAGGAACTTCTTCCAGGTCTCCCACATGGGGCAGGATCCCAAGGTCTTAGGCCATCCTCAACTGCTTTCCCAGGTCACAGCCAGGGAGCTGGATGGGAAGTGGAGCTGCCGGGGTTAGAACCAGCACCCACATGGGATCCTGGCGCATTCAAGACGAGGACTTCCAGCCGCTAGGCTACCGTGCTGGGCCACAGAATGTTTTCAACATAAGAAAATAATAAATGTTCAAGTAGCTTTGTTTACACTGATTTGAATATTTTAAAATGTGTATATGCAGGCTCAGCATGATGGCTCAGTGGCTAAACCCTCACCTTGCATATGCCAGGTATATGGGATGGATTTGTATCCTGACTGCTCCACTCCCCATCCAATTCCCTGCTTATGGCCTAGGAAAGCAGTATAGGACAGCCCAAAGCCTTGAGACCTGCACCTTCTTGGAAGTCCCGGAAGAGGCTCCTGGCTCCTGGCTCCTAGCTTCGGATCAATTTAGCTCTGGCCATTACGGCCATTTGGGGAGTGAACCAGCAGATGGAAGATTTTTCTCTGTCTCTCCTCTTCTCTGTAAATCTGCCTTTCCACTAAAAATAAAAATAAAATTGAAAATATATATATATGGATCAATTCATGACATGGTACCTCAGAAATGTGTGTTTTTAAATATCAGCTACATTGCTTTTATCACGTTATACCACAGCACCAGCCAGAGTAGCAGCCAAATTGCTTTCAAAATTCAAGAGTTAAAACTTAAGATATTTTAAACTTCAAAGTTTAAATAAGTAATTTTATTTGATTATAGATACTGAAATTTCTCTAGCTTACTGCTGATGAGTCAAGAATTAAATCTTTTGCATTCTAAATGTACTACTGTTCAAATGTAATAAAATTAAATAAAAAAATTAAAAATAGGAAATTCAATGTCAAAGAAAAACAACTTGATTTATCAAAAAAATAGGTAAATGAAAGAAACTGAGGAAAAGTGAAGCAAAAGGGACAAAGAGGTCATTTGAGATATCTGTTCTAAAATATCTCTGGGCTTCAATTTTACACGTGTGCATTACCAGGGAGCTTTAGAGAGTTTAGGCAGTCCATTAAAAATTGAAATTGTTTGTAAATATACTCACCTACAACACCATTCAATACGACCTTCACCTTCACAAGTTTTTGCCCAATGATTATCTGCCAGATTTTTCATCGCGACAGCATATTCACAAAGTGTCTCCTCATCTTCACAGTGTTCTCGCCAAATCTTATCAAAATCTCCCACTAAAAACAAGGGGGGAAAATCAGCTTTACTTAAAAAGATGTCAAGCTCTTCAAAGTCTCAACACACTTAAAATTATTTAAAGATTAAATAAACAAAATCGTAGTAAAAGTTTATGAGGTCTTCAACACTTAAGAGCTCCTTTGAGCAAACAGGATGTAAGCCATCCTTTTAATTATCACTTCATAATCAAGTAAATTTGAAGCGAAAAAAAAACTATTAAAAGTAAATCGAAATGTATGAGTTACTTCTTCATCAGACACAAATGTGCTGGTAGCAGACAACTGTGATTGGTACCTAACCTTCATTTTCCTGCTCCCAGTGGACAATACGGCCTTGCGGCAGCAGAATGAAACCACAGCCTGTTTCTTGCCTGCTATTTTTTTTTTAATTTCTACATACTTACACACTTCTTATGTTAAAAAAGAAGCTGGTAGGTGAAATGAAAATGTTAAATAAATGTTGATACACTTGAATTTGCTCCAGTGATACTGTAACCTTGGAAAAACTATACGTTTGGACAAAAACGCTGTATGGAAGAAATTTCTTTGGAAGCCTCTCCAAAATTTTAGATTTTCATAGAATGCTCTAAATAAAAAATAATTATAAGCTGACTACATTGTCTGGCTGGCTATTGCCTTTTCAGAATTACATCATTCATCACATTTAATATGAAATCAGGAATACCACTGAGAAGAATGATCGAGGGTAAAACAAAACCATCAGGGTAATTTCATTCAATGTCCTTAGATACAGGAATTAGGTTCTTTTGTTCCCTGTTGAAATGCAGGCAATAACCTGATCACAGAATAAACTTAAAAACATATGGTAGAGCCAAATTTCATCAACAACTTTCTCCAAGTAAATTACCAAGTTTTAACATTTAAGAGTTTCCTTTTTTCCACAGAAAAGGAATTACAATACTTTACATGTAACAATCACTTATTATTCAAGTTTGAAATATTTGGTCATTTTTGTTTTATTGTTTATTTTGTGTTCCCAATCTAATGAGTGATAAGCAAAAAGCCAACTATTAGTTTTTAAAAAAGAGGAGTAAGGGAACAAACACAGCCTCAAATACATACATACACGCCTGGTGGCGTGGCCTAGTGGCTAGTCCTCGCCTTGAACACGCCAGGATCCCATACATACATAACATACATACATAAACACACACACTTCCCTTCCAGCTCCCTGCTTGTGGCCTGGGAAAGCAGTCAAGGATGGCCCAAAGCCTTGGGACCCTGCACCCGTGTGGGAAACCTGGAAGAAGTTCCTGGCTCCTGGCTTCGGATCGGCCGTTGCGCTCACTTGCGAAGTGAATCTTCCTCTCTATCTCTCCTCCTCTCTGTATATCTGACTTTCCAATAAAAGTAAATAAATCTTTAAAAAAAAAACCTAAATACATAAAAAATCTGCTCATAGGAAACAATTAAATATATTCCCTCAAACTTAATTAATATTTTATGGCTAATATAGTTAAACTAAAATACTAAATTTAAAGATGGAATCAGAAACCATTTGTTCAAATACATAGTTTAAAAAGCAACTCAAAGTCTAACTAGTATAAAAGATAATGGTATTTGGCTTAAAAAAATCTAGAACACAGTTTACATTAACATGCCTTCTTACAGACTCCTTATATTTAAAATTCCCCAAGTCATTTAATATTTAAAAATGATACAAAATTCTTTAAAAAAAAAAAAACTTCACCCATTAGGATGAAGTGTCATCAGAAAGACAAAAACCAAGTATCAGATTTTCTAGGTTGTAGCCCCAGCTCGGCTAATGCGTGCCAGGGAAGGCAGCAGCAGGCTGAGAACTGAGAACAGCAGGGGAGAAGCGGGGTGTGCTCCAGGGTATTGGCTGCAGCCTGGCCTGGCCTGGCCCAGCCCTGACTCACATTTGGGGACTGAACTAGGAGGTGTGCAAAAGAGATAGCAGTACTTGTAAAAGCTCATTTCCCCTAGAAACTCACCATTAGGTGAAAGCAAGATCACCTGCTACGCAGAGACAACCAGGTCATACTTTCAGTGGTTATGACACCTGGCCTCTCTTCACAAGGTTTTTTTTTTAATTGATGAACTTTCACAGATATAGTTTTGCACTAGAGCAAAGAATAATGACTACTACAAACAAATGGGCTTTTGTCAGCCAAATCATTATTTAGCTCCTGTAACTGCATTATTTATTAGATTTCTGGCAATAGTTCTATCCTCTGGCTGCCACTCTGGCTGCATTTTAGAATCACTTGGAAGTTTCATTTAACAGGACTGGTGTGAAAAGTAGTTATTTATTTTAATGCATCTTAGACGAATCAACTGTGCAGCCAATGGCCTAAGAGTTGGTTGTAACTTAAATGCCTGGTGAGACAACCTCAATGGATTGGAGTAGTCTGAAGAACCCAATTTAATTTTTTTTAAAGATGTATTATTTTTTTTTTACTTGAAAAACACAGCTACAGAGACAGCAAGGGAGACACAGAGATCTTCCAACCACTGGTTCAACTCAGAGCTGAGCAGATCTGAGTCCAGGAGCTTCTTAGTGGGTGCAGGGGACCAAGGCTTTGAGCCATCCTCTGTGTTCTCGCAGGCCATACATAGGCAGGAAGCTGGATCAGAAGTGGAGCAGCCAGGACTAGAATGAGCCCAAAAGGGTTGCCATGCCACAGACAGAGGATCAGCCTGCAACATACTACGTTGGTTCCCCAAATTTAATTCTAAAAAACCATGGATCACACTTTTTCTAAAATTCAAATTTGGTTTATGGCATTATTGTCTCTGGAGCAGCTTCTAAATTATGATGTATTTATGATTAAAAATGCTTAGTCCAAAATGTGAAAGTATTTCAGTAAAGAAGATAATATCAAGACGTTAAAGGCAATACTACCAACACCTGTTTTAGTGAAAATTGACTTTATAGATGTGTGTATGATCGACACAGATCACTTGGTAAGCATAACTTTGAATTCTCAAGCAAAGGACTTATGAACAAACTTCTGGAATTTAATTTTAATTAGGTAGAAAATTTCTATATAAATGGAAGTAGGGAATATTCAGATGTACCTTAAAAGGAAGCTGTATTAGCCATCTATTTTAAAATAATCATGCAATGAGTATCAATAAACACTGTATAGTAAATCAGGACAGTTTAGATCAATGCGTCTCAGATGTTAAACGTTGAAACCAATATAAAGTCTACCTACAAAATTTAGAAGAGTGATAATGGGATTGTACATTTGTTTGTGTGTGAAGTTAGTTATGTAAATTTAAGTAAATATACACAAATACACAAAACTACTACCATCTCTGGGGGCAGTTTTGTGACATAGTAGGTTAAATTGCCACTTGCTATGTGAGCAGTTCCATCTGCTCCACTTTGAATCCAGCTCCCTGCTAATGTGCCCGGGAAAGCACCTGCAGGCCCAAGAACCTGGAGCCCTACTACTACCCACTTGGGAGTCCCGGCCAGAGATCCACGTGCCAAGCTTTGCTGTGACCTAGTCCCAGCCAATAGCCCTTGTAGCCATCTTGGGAGTGACGTAGCATATGGAAGCTATCTCTCTCTGCTTCCCTCCCTCTCTCCCTTACAGCCTCCTAAATAAATAAATCTAAAAAAAATTTAAATTGTTACAATCTTCTAATATCGAAACAAGCAGTTTTACATCTATTACAGTATCTTATTCTCACTTCTATGTACTCACAAGAATCTTAACAAAAAACCCTGTCTGGCACTGCCATGCAGGAACTAACATATAAAAAACCAGAATCCACTGTTACACTAGAGTAACTGGATTTGACAATATCTGTTTACAGTGTCACTTATAGAAAAAATTAATTTAAAAATGACAATTTGGGCATTTAATTAAGGATAAGATTAATGTAAGAAAACATGTAAATTTGAAGATATCTATATACAAAAGTTGCAATTTAAAAGAGTAACAAAATGATAAAACAAAATTCTTGCAAGGAGAGATGGTTGTCATAGTGACTATGAGACAGATTTGCCTTGGATACTGAGGTAATCATGGAAGTGTGCCATTTCCTCCATGGAAGTAGCAACAAAATAAAAATCTAATATAAGAAATCAATGTGTCAAAATTATTAACAAAGAAACTTAAAGTCAACTTCTTGAGATGGCAACTAGTCATACAATTTATCTTAATACAAGTAACTCTTTACAAAGTAGCACATACAATATCTACTATTTAAAAATCACTAGTTACTGCAATTGGTGCTTTGCTTTGTACACTATGCTTTTATTACATATACAAAATATTTCAAAGTATAAATAAGGAATGTGAAAAACAATGACAGCTCTCAGGGCAAGCACAGTCTTATTTGTGGTTTTCAAAAAGGGATCAATCATCTGCATTAACCCAGTGAACTGCTTTTTGAAGCCTAAGGATGAACATTTTAAAAACTCAGCAGAGGACTCTGGAGTACACTGAAGCTTAAGAATCACTGCCTGAAAAACAAAATCTAGAGGATGGAGCAATGGCTCAACAGGCCAATCTTCTATCTGCAAGTGCCTATATCCTTTATCTATCTCCCATTCAGCTCCCTGCTTGTGGCCTAGGAAAGCAGCAGAGGACGGCTTAAGGCCTTGGGGCTTTGTATCCATATGGAGGTTCCTGGCTCCTGGCAACTGGTTTGGGATCCTCTCAGTTCTAGCCAACACAGCCATCTGAAAGTGAACCAGCGGATGAAACATAGCTTCTCTCTCTCCTCCTTTCTCCAATTCTTCCTTTCCAACAAAAATGAATAACTCTTTAACAACAACAACAAAACCCTAAAAACCATCGCCTTCGCCTTAAACCCGTAAGTACAATACACCTATATAAGAAAACAAAGACATCACACCTAAACCAACAGAAACTGAGGATCTTCCAAGATCAAAACAAAACACTGTGCTCTTCAACAGAATTTCAATGAACAATTCTATTTTTTCTTGAGTATCATAGGCTGTCACTATGAAGTATAAATGGCAGCGGACAGTTCTA